GGCCTATCAAGGATTTGCCAGTGGTGATCCTGATCATGATGCATGGGCTGTTCGTTATTTTGTTAAGCGCGGCTTTGAACTTTTCTGCGCCCAATCATTTGCCAAGAATTTTGGTTTGTATTGTGAACGTGTTGGTAATTTGACAGTTGTCTCCAATACCACCGAGCACAAATCTGCCGTACAATCACAATTTACTCTATTGATTCGTGGCATGTATTCAAATCCACCAGCATTTGGTAGTCGTATTGTGTCGACGGTATTGAATAATGCTGATTTGAGACAAGAATGGTAAGTGGGGGGTTGTCGTTTGAGGATGATGACATTTATTATAACCATATCTATCATAAGAAGTATTTTGTTAAATTTAGTTTAAATCGGCTAAATATTGGAAATATTGTACCAAGTTTAGTTAAGAGAGTTGAGGACTAAGTTCACTATTTTTTCCTTTAAAAATTGTTAGATTTTACCAGTTTGATTTCATTTGTATTTAAATACTACGAATGGTTGATTCGGCTATGACGGAAATAGAATTCATCAGATCGGCTATATTTACTTCGGACATTCTAGCCACTTTTTGCGCCATCGAAAATCCGTTCAGATTTAGATATAGCTCCCATATATTGTTTCGTCCTATTTTAGGTAAATGGTGCGCCAAACTCCCAATATTAGTCCGATTGGGACAAAATTTTGCACAGGGTACTGAATTAGGTCTAGATTGATATATGTCAAGTTTTGTTGAAATCGGTTCCCATATATAGCTTCGTCCGATTTTATGTAAATGGGGCACCATACTGCCAATATTAGTCCGATTGAGACAAAATTTTGCACAGAGTACTGAATTAGGTCCAGACTGATGTTTGGACCTAAAATCGGTTCAGATTTAGATATAGCTCTCATATATAGTTTCGTCCGATTTTTTGTGAATGATGCACCAAACTCCCAATATTTTTCCGATTGAGACAAAATTTTGCACAGAGTATTGAATTAGGTCCAGATCGATGTCTTCGAAGTTTTGTTAAAATCGGTTCAGATTTAGATATAGCTCTCATATATAGTTTCGTCCGATTTTTTTTTTTGTGAATGGTACACCAAACTCCCAATATTTTTCCGATTGAGACAAAATTTTGCACAGAGTACTCAATTAGGCCCATACTGATATCAGCGAAGTTTTGTTAAAATCGGTTCAGATTTAGATATAGCTCCCATATATAGTTTCCCCCGATTTTTTGTGAATGTGATTGACCAAAATTTTGCATAGCGAATACAATTCAGCGCACCGAAGGCTTTTCACTATTCGCAACATGTGGATGCGTCCGATAATGGTGTTTTGGATTCTGATTTTATGGATAATTTCTCTATCAAAAATTATCCATTTAAGGTTCGCTGTAGGCCTTTATACCTTTATATGGTATTCCCCACTATTTGATATTTTGGGCATGTTTTTTAAAGTTAATTGGCTTTAATTTTTGTATTTTGGGTTCTAGTTGGTTAGAAGTACCCACTATATAACAGTACCTACCAAATTTCAGTATTTTGGGCAGATTTTTCAAATCTTCTTATTAACAACTATCAATATATTTTTCAACCGTCAGGGTCCTAGCCCAACCAGACTGTCTTTAGTTAGGTATTTCGTTTTCTCCTGGAAGCCCCTACAGATTTTAGATATTTTGAATGGTGGGGGAACCTAACAACGTTTTTATTTGTTTTGATTAGAATTTGCATAAGGGGGTTAACGTTTAACTAAGTTTTACTCCTTTTTGAGTTTGAATAACCCTCCCACACAATACCTCATTTCATTTCTCTCTTGTTTTGTTTTTTTAGGATGGAATGCATTAAAACAATGTCCAGTAGAATTATTAAAATGCGACAAGCTCTGAGATCTCGTCTGGAAGAATTAAAGACTCCTGGTACATGGAATCATATTACTCAACAAATTGGCATGTTCTCCTACACCGGTTTAAATGGTATGCGTGTGTTTATATTTAATTGTCATTTACAGATTTAAGAAATTATCTCTTTTTGTTTTTGCAGAAAAACAAGTACGCATCTTGATCGATGAATATCACATCTATTTATTGAAAACTGGACGTATCAATATGTGTGGTTTGAACGAGAACAATGTAAATTATGTGGCCGAAGCTATTAATGCTGCAGTTACTCGTGTCGGCAGTCAATTGTAAAACTAGCAGCTGTAATTGTTACATTAATATTTTCTAATAAGTTATTTAAAAACAACAATAAAACAGAAGAGATGTGCTAATTTTTCCAAGAGGTGAAATTGGAAAATATAAACTAAACTAAACGCCCAAATGGGATTTCTTAAATGGTTTCAGTTAAACGAAATGCAACAGTTTAGGGAATTCAAACCTGTGCGATATTGATAGAAAACTTTGTCGTTTCGTTATTACACAATAAAATAACCCAATTTATAATTAGAAAATTGTCCCAAACAACAACAACAACTGAATTTACAAACAACAAATCAAAGCCAAATAAACATTACTCAACAAAATTTCATAAAAAATGATTTATTTATATATGAACTTTTTCAAGCATTTAGATCTAGTTAAATGTTTGCATTTCCTCACTTCACCCAAAAAGTAACACATATATAACCTATGAATGAAAATAAACACTGAACTATTTGTATACAGGCCAAAAGTAATATATACATATATAAAATAATTATACAAACAAATAACTTTACAATTTACAAAAATTTGCTAATATTTGTATAACTACAAACATTGTATTTTTTAAATGTGTTTTTACGAATTGTTGTTACTGATAAATGCATTTTCCGCAGGACACTAACACATCCACACAGATCTTTATTAAAAAAGAAAAATAAATTATGTATACACTCGTCTGTTTGGCTCTTATCTATTGTATACACAAAAAAGCGAATACGATAGATATTTACTAAATAAAAACAAAAAAAAAAAAAAAACATGCACACAGGGTAAATATGAAATCAATTATGATATATTTAGATCATCAAACATGTTTATTACATCAAATATGTAAGGAAACTATTTGTATTTGTTAGCATTTAATTGATTAGCAATTGAAATATTAATAATTTAAACTGAAAACTAATTTGTTTTTTTTTTTGAATCAATAAAAGACAATAATTAAATTGTGGTTGTTTTATTTTATTAAAAAAATTATTTTCTCAATGATTGCGAAGGTCTGGAATCATCTGTTGAGCAGCTGAGTCATCATACTTTGGTTTATATGCGATGTTACCTTACGATGTTGTTGTTATAGCAGTCCACTGCTTTTACACAATGGACTGATGTGATAGACGTTGCGAAGTCATTCCATTTGGTTGAAGTGATCTTGGTTGTCTTGCATGTACAGAGAGTGCCGCAGATGAATAAACCCCACGCTGCAGTGCAAAATTGTAACAGTTTTACTATAGTACAAGTTCTTTCCCGAACAAATGACAGAAAATTAAAAAAAAAAAAATGACGCACTATTGGAAAAAGATTTGTTGGTTTGGATGAGTGTCTAGTGTGAGCTTTGAAGGCAAAAAGAAACAGTGCACCGTTGATGAGAATTTAGAACATTGTAGTTGGGCCTAGGAAAGAAAATGTTTGGTACGAGTGTTAAAAAAATAATTATGGATTAATAAATAATTATGGTTAGAAAAAACTGAGAATGATGAACAAATGAATTAAAAACAAAATTAAGAGATCGATCAAATATACTCTCCCTAAGTGACCACTGGTATAAAAATAGATGTACGAATTATGTGACAAAATTCAAATATTTAATATTTATACAAAATGTTCGTCTCAATAAAGATTAATGATTATATATGTATTAAACGCTATTAAAAACGTTCCAAATAGAGCCACAGCAATTTGAACTCCACTAAAATGGCCGCTGCTTTGAAATTGCTTGGACAGGGTGGTTATCAACAACAAATCGACTAAGACCATCTCTTAGGATTATCACAGCAATCTATAAGACCAAACCATTAAATATGAACACATAGTTAGTTTCACATCTCTATCTAAACTCAAAAACTACTGCACCGATTGGGACAAAATTGTATATACATGCTCTGTGTGGCGTGAGGAGTGTTTCTGTGTAGTTTGAAGTTCATCCGAAAGATTGCGCAATATTTAGTATTTTTGTGTTTTTGCAACGTAACTCAAGAACTACTGCACCGATTTTGACCAATCTTTATGTATATGCTCTATGGGCGTGATGAGTGTTTCTGTTTAATTTTAAGTTCGTCCGACAGATGGCGCGATATATAGCTTCTTTGTGTTTAGCCCGATTAGAGATTAGGTGCTTAATCGACGTGTGTCGACGTTAAGTACTCCGACACCGATTTATAAATAACCTATTTTCGTAAAATGAGCGTGGGAGTCAGACGAAAAAAGTATAATTTCCAAAAATTATTATATGATGGGACCGATTTGAATCCAAATTTTTTTCAGTTATCTGTAATTGCAGTGGGAAGGTTTTTGTGAATGGACATTTTGAGAAAAAAACTTATCTTTAAGGAACGGCTGGGCCGATTTTCAATGGTAGACAATGTGGGATATATACCATAAAGTGGTACTATACCGACAATTTACAGAGAAGTTTTTTACCCTACATGAAATACCGAATTAAAGGCAATTTATAGGGTATTTGTTATTACTTTCAAAGTACCTAAAATCAGACTATGCCAAAATATGGACCGAAGATAAAGAGGTTTAAAAACGCCAACTAATGGTGAGCCAATATCTGAATCATTGTCTGAAACTTGAACGTCTTCTAAATAGGAAACGAAACCAGCTTTATTTGTGATAAAATCTCAAAACATATACATATGTTGTTATGTCCATGAAAAATATTCAATCTTCGCTCCATAAGATTATAAATACCTCTACAATTTAGCAAGCTATGGAAGGTATTATTGAAAATTTTCTTATATTCGGGAAGTATATATATAAATTCGAATCCTACATGGAGTCGAATGTGCCTTTATTGTTCCTCAAATATATTTTTAATTTGTAATCACAATTTCGTACGGTTGAATTGCAGTGGGAAGAGTTGAGAAAAGCATAAAAAAGTCGGAGATTGGAGTAATCAAGTGTTGTGTTACTTACACCTTTTATAACTCAAGAACGTCTGCACCAATGTTGATGACTCAAAGGACTTATGAATCGTATGTGATCAAAATAGGAAGAGTAATAACGCATCAATGCTAAATTGTCTTTTGAGATAAGAGTAGATAGATAAAAACTTGACCTTCTCCTAAAAATGTTTGGTGGAATAAGTTTGATCAATTTATAAACTGAAATACCACACACACTGACATAATTTAATATTTAACAATAAGAATATTACTTAATATATTGGAGTATCATTGCATTTTTTAACTGTGGAAATTTGACGTACATTGTTTGGTAAATACTTTCTGAAATATATTTTCCATGAATTCGTTCATTTTTACCAACCCTATATTGGTGCAATTCTGGTAATGCAAAACAACGTTTGCCGGTTCTGCTAGTTTCATATAAAAAATAGAATACATTACTTTTTTTCCAACCAGCGACATATCTTACAGGAGATCCATTTGAATTGAGGTCATCAGCCAGTTTCGTCCACAAATTCTTTGTTTCGCATTTGAACATTTAATTAACAAGTTGGATATAAATAAAACCTTTAATTGTGCTTACTTACATGTTTCGCTTCCTTTGCTTTTGCTATTTTGTTAACGCAAGATATTTGCGCTTAACGAGCGAGTTTGACATAAGTTTTCGTATTACAGAGTGGGGTGATGCCACATTTGCGAAACGGAGATACGAACATTAGAGAGTATTAGGCTGACGTCAGAGTGCAAGCGAGAAGCGATGCGATACTACATGCTATAATAGTTCATGCTACTTCAATGCTATAGTATGTCAGAGTGAGTGCTATAGAGAGCAAAGCGTGTTGTTGGTTTATATCGCCTATTTCTGTTGTAAACTGGTGTTTATTGACTCAAGAAGGATTCCGACGAAGAATTTTTCATATCACAAAATATTTTCAAAGTAATTTTTTAAAGAAAATTCATGAAATGAACAAATATTTCTGCATCGATTTCCCTTATTTTTTCCAAATTATTTTATTATTATTTAATTAAATTTGGACTTGAGTCCACAAAAATCCCGACAGATTGGTCCACGCCATTAAAATTCGATAAGATGCAAAAGAACGATGCCAAAAACCGATCAATAACGGTAAATAAAAATAATAAACAAAGAAACTCAAACAGAGCCAAAGCGAGCTCTTGCTATAAACCATTGCACAACACGCTTTATCGCTTGCACTCGCTTTGTCTCGCTTGTAGCGTAGCATCCACTCTGACAGCTTTTGCGCTATGCCATAAGAAAACACACGCAGAGGTTTATAGCGTCGTCTAGCGGCATATCATAGCATCGCTTCTCGCGCGCACTCTGACGTCAGCCTTACTCGATCCGATGCAATTTTTCTTGCGCATCGCACAATAGAGTAACCCCCAGGCTTAAGCCTATGTCCTAAAGACATGTGGTGGTGTAAACCACCCCTCTTTTCAACCAAATATACTTAGCTGTGAACAGAACGGTTGTTCCATAAGCCGAGCTTAAAAATGATTTCCAAGGGCGTCGGTCTTGTGCTCATCTCATCCAATTTGAAATACTTAACCTTTCCATCGAATTCGTGGCCTCCCCTTTTCTGCGCAAACCTCACTTGGATCGCTTTTAATTGTGTCTGTTTACTCAATATTTGGTAACTATTGTTACCAAATGTTGTCTGTTTACACAAAAATCCAGAAAAAAAGAGTCAAGTGAGAGAGCAAGTTGGACAGTTCAACGACAACAAACTTACTGCAGTTTATTGAAAGAATTTTATGCAATAAGATTTTGCAAACTCAGCCATTTTTTGGATCAGCTGTTTTATGACCAAACAAAAACATAATTCAAAACAATTTTTTTTTAATTTGTAAAGTTCAATTTGAAATTAAGGTGTATAAAAATTACAGAAAATGGAAACAAATTCGAAAGTAATGCAAAGTTTCAAGAAATTATAAACTAATTCTTTATATTTTAGGCAGGTTCCAGAAAGAAGGAAGCTTGAATGTTTCCGATTGTAATTTTTCAAGATTTTCAATGGGCTGGTAAATGAATACAAATGCTTGTTAAGGTTTGTAACTTTGCACATATATAATTGAAGATTTAAAAGAAAAGAAAAATAATTTA